CTTTTCTGAAAATTCTTTCAAAGTAAACGTTAAAAAGCAGGGGTGACAAGAGGCATCCCTGCCGTACTTCTCTTTTAATATTGAGAGCTTGTGATTCCACACCATCTACTAAAACTGATGTTGTTTGATTCCAATATAAATTTGCAATTATTCGAACATCTCTGCCGTCCAAGCCAATGTCTTTTATGTATATGTATGTAATCTAATAATGTCTACACATATGACTAATATAGTATAGGTATAATCTTACCAAGGCAATATATTTTTTAATGTTGTGATAACAGAGACTGTAATTTTAGAATCTGTATTATATAAACATTTCTTTAACTAAAATTATACATTTTGTAATCCAATATTCATACTTGTTTAAAATGTGGAGTACCTATATAGATATATATATTTACATAATTTTGGTTATTATATTGTAACACTAATCTCAGTTGATGATAATAAAAATTTTAGGAAGAAAATTTTACATCTTTTTTTATCCATTTTATATTAATTTTGTACAGTATAATAATATAAACGTAGATAAAATACCAGATAAAGCGAATCAATTATTCAATTGATTTCAATTGTAAACAAATTTTACAGTTATGACAAATGCCAAATGTCGCTGTCAATAACAATTTGAAATAATTTTGAAGATATCAGATCTACTATTTCGTTTTACCTTAGTGTTCTGTGGTTATACCCAGAATAACTATTCCGCTGTCGATTTCACAATGTAGAACGCTCGAAAGGTTATACTTGGAATAAACTCAAGTATAAGTTATACTCAGAATAACTATTCTCCAGTTTATACCTGGATTGTAGAACCGGCCCTTTAGTATACATCAACCAATTGTTGTAGTTTTACTTTGTTAAAAAGTGATTAAACATTTTTTTCTGTAGCTGATTAGTAACTTTCTCTTCTGCATCACTTCGTAGTTAGTACATGTGATATGTGGTATTCTGAATGTAAGAATATGTTTTATATTCTGTGTGGATATTCACAGTTCGCATGATCTTGGTCTGTTTTTCCCCATTTTGCCAAATTTGATTTTACTGGAGCGACCCCCGTTCTTATCATATTTATAGTTTTCACATTTTCGTGGAAGTCTAGGGACTGGCCGGTTCATTGAACCTGTGGAAAAGGAAAATACTCAGCTGGTATATCCTGCACTGTTCCAAAGAAGCTTTTCCTGGATTATAGTCGCTTTCGTGTTGTTCGAGCTTTATATAGGACATGCCGCTCGTCCGCGATCTGTTTAATTTTCTCTATGTGCTCGGCAATGCCTCTGCATGTAAAGGGTTCTGCAAAACCCGCTCATTTATATAGATTTAAGAGTAGCGTTGGTTTATTGCATCCCGTTACTATTGTGGACAGACCTGTTCCAAACGAAGCACGCATATTTATCAGTTGAGAACCACAGTGCCTGTGCCGTTGTTCTTAAAACGTCAGCACGTGCACCTGATTTACTTCCCGTTAGCTCTTGAGTATGCTGTTCCTAGTCGTTATTTTCCCTCTTGTTTTTATAAAATGTTGTCTGTAGGTGAGGGACCGGTCCAGAGTTACTCCAAGATATACAAATTGTTTTGTGTGTTCTAATGTATTACCATCCCATGCAATTTGGAGTATTAGCTTGGCTTGCTTGACACGAAGGTGGAAAGCGTAGACTTTGGTTTTAGAGGGACTGGGTCTCAGAGAATTCTTCAGGTATTACGCTGTCATTGTTTTAAAAGCAGTTTCGAGTTTCTCCTTTACTTGTTTAAATCTATCTCCTGGAGCACATATTGCAAGATCGTCAGTATAGAGGAAGTGCTTGGTTTCGGTCTGCGTAGGTTGGTCGTTTGTGTATATACTGCTATATATTTGTTTGTGTATATTATAGTAATATATATTATTGCTAAAAAACTTACCTGTGGAAGGCCGTTTTTTGAACTTTCCACCTACTTACTTTACCCTCCAGCATAATAACCTGCCCATAACATGACCTTACCCAGATGGTGGTCATTGAGAGTGTCGTATAATTTGCGGAGCAATGTTTTGTGCCCTACTGTGTTATAGGCTGCTGTTAAATCTACGAAAGTAACCCTGTTATAAGTTTTCCTTTAAAGCCTTCTTTAATATATTCTGTTAGTGCGAGAACTAACTTGACCGGTGCAAGATTTGCCGGGTCTGAATCCTCCTTGTTGTGAGATGAGGTGCTTCGACATTTTTTTTATTCTCACGAGTGTAAGTCTCTCGCATAGTTTGAAAAAGTGATACAACAGCGAAATAAGCCTGTAACTACTGGGGTTTTCTGGGTCCTTTTCTGGTTTTAACAAGGCCATTACTTTTAGATTAAGCAACAATTTAGCCATTCTAAAGCCTGTCTGATATATCCATAAGCTCATTTTTAATCCAGGTGTTTCATATTTCAGATACTTGTAAGTAATAATAAGTGGAGCTAATTGACTCCCAGCTTTTCCAGATACCATTAAAGAAGTACAGGCTTTTACAGAGTTTTTATTACGTTTAGGAAACTTTTTCCTCTTAAGTTACTATTTTTGTTTGATCTATGTCACAAATAAAATTAGTTTTGAAATAATTCCAAAGGTTCATAATGCAAAAATGCCTTGTAATTTTACCAATTCATTTAAATTAATAAAGAAGGTATTTATGATTTCTTCATCAGGATCAGCTGCAATATGTGAAATATTTACACAATCTTATGAGAAAGTTGCGAATGTCGTTTTAAGAATACTTTTAACCATTCCATATCACAATATTTTATGATTTCTTTATTTGGTCTGCTCTGAACGGTTTTCTATTCTGCGATGTGTTAATTGTCTCAGTAAGTTCCTGCACTTTTATGTAGGAAACTATAAGATTTGTTTTTCTAACTACCATTCTACATAGTTACTAATGTTATGCCACAAATTCTTACAGTGCTACATCCCTTGTTATTCTGAATTACTTCTAAGTGAGTGGTAAAGAACATCCCAGAGGTACTTTTCAGTGCTTCACAGTTTTTCGATTTATTTCTAATGCATTAAGTTGAATGTGACGGAAAAAGCGGTAGTTCCGTGATTTTACAGAACTATATTGCAGCGTTAGAATAAGCTTACAGAAAGAATAAGCTATTCTTTTCTAACCTACGTTTGATTCGCTGATATTTAGATGCGCGCTTTCTCTGGCTAACCAAATACGCCTATTACTGACAGTTGACCTAAACTTCGTCCATGCTGGTCATTCTTTCGAAGTGTTGAACAGCAAGTGACGGCTGTCGTTCAGGTCAGTATTTGTCAGAGTTGCCGATTTGTATATAAATATCAGATTTTAACATAATTTTAAATTTCAAGAAATTCATAAAAAAATCAGATTTTTAAATAATTACCTGTATGTAGAATTGCCTAACATAACTCTGATTGTTATATGTAGCTCGGGAAAGTACAGTAAGTATAATTTGGAGAATCCCTACATCGCGCAGAGTTTCCCCAAATCATAAAAAAACCATTGCAACTCTGTTACTGGATTACAGTTGTACAGTTTAGTTAAAGTATTACATTTGATCCTTTAAAAATTGACATGCAAAGTTTGAGTAATTTGGATAAATTAAGAAGAGTCATAATTCTGACTTTGATTATAAAAAAGAAAAGAAAAAATCTAAATACAGTGCGGGTCGAAGACAAAATAATCCCCAAAAATTTAGAATGAACTGGGATAATAAACCGGATTTTAAAGGGTGACTAGAAGCTATATTTTAAATCTGACTGGCTTCTCTCTAATTAACTCTTCATAACTTTAGCTAGGTTATGACCAAAATATTTGACCATGGATTTGTCTAAGGAAATATCTTTATGAAAACATCACCACTGGCAGTATTTTTCTATAATTTTATTTGCTAAAAGTCTAATTTTGTACATAAAAACTGTAGAATCGCCTATTTTGACATTATTTTCTAGATGAACAAACTTTGTTATTTATAAATACCTGTCTCGGCTCAAAGCGTTGTAAACACAGGAAAGTCCTAAGTCCGCATCCAACGACCTAATCTAATTTCATTTCTAGATGGTTTAGGCAGGTATTTCAATAGATAAATTACTACTTTAGCTTCAATTGGTATTATCTACCAAGTGTGTTATCTTCAGTATCATTCGTTTTTTTTAAACAAACGTTAAAACCATAACGTCATATTCAGTGGAACCAGTTATTATCCAATTCTTATATACAAATCTGACTGGCCCTTCTCTAATTAATGTTTTGCTAGGTTATGAAATTTCACCATGAATTCTTCTAAGGATATATCTTTAAGGAAACACTCGTACGTTATTGGTATATAGCAATTATACATACCAAAGACATATGACGTAGATATATTAATATTATACGACATATGACAAGTGGTCGAAACAAATGAGAATAGTTATTTTAACAAGTCCTACTTCACAAGCTTTTCACCTGTGCCTAAGTACGATCCTGGTATCTGTCAGATTCTTCAATAATTATATGAAATAATTTCCGACACACCTAATTCCTTATATGACGTCATAGTTCTTACTACTCTACTCTATCTTTTTCTCTTCCGTTCGTTCGTTTTATCATTTATTTCGTCAATCTGTAAGCAAAAGTGATTGATATTATTTATTTTTAATGTGACTACTAAACTTCTTCCATAATTTTCTTCTTCCGAATTACGAATTCCTAATTCTTCCGAATTTATTTGCCTTTAAATCCGTTTTTCTTCATTCCGAGTTTCTCTGTATATATCTGCCATTTCTATTGCCTTTTCTAAGTGCTTGTAATATGCCTATTATTTTTTCAATCAATAAAATTATTTTCATATAATGAATACAACATCTAAATTATAATACTGGTTTTAATTATCAGTGCATTGTTAGTTTGTAAATATTAAACACCAATAATTATTATGTTATGTTATGTATATAGCGTCATAGTTTATAAACAAGGACAAGGAGGTTATCAAAGTATTCCTATGCAGAATTATATTTATATAAATATATAGTAACTAACTAGTAACCAAGAATTATCCATTATGACTAGATCTTCATTAATTTTATTACATTTTTTAGCTTGTTTGAAACTTATTTACTCAAATGAGTATCATAAAATAGTTATAATTGGCGCAGGTGCATCTGGACTTGCTACTGGTGTAAGACTTTTAGAAAATAACATTGATGACTTTTTAATATTAGAAGCCGAACCGAGAATTGGTGGAAGAGTAAAAACTGTTAATTTCGATGGTCAAAACGTAGACTTGGGTGCAGAATATTGTGACCGAGAAAAGGGAAATATTATCTATGAGGATCTTAAAAGAAGAACTTGTTGAGTCTTTTGGAAAGTGTCGATCCAGCAAAGAAATTTTATTTATCTTCTCAAAAGAACATAAGTAAAGAATTTGGTAAAGAGATTTTTGATGATATTGACATTGATCTTTTTATTGAAGGAGATTTTCAGAACAGCACTGAAAGTAATTCGACTGAGGTTCTAGGACGGTATGTATATAAGAATTTTTATTGTCTATTTTTATCACTTCATTGGTCTATTATTAAACAGAACGAGTTTTAAATATGGAGCATCTTAGTTATATCGGAAACAACGTCAGATTTCCGGTTTTTTTTTTTAAATATTTTTTTATTTTATTTTATTTTACAATAAATTTGAGCAGGAGTCACAAAACCCATAAGTGGTTTTGTGAAATGTGTAAATACAATGTTAAATAGCATGGTACAATGAATACAAGGTATGATATTGCGCATGACATTTGACAGCTGGCCCAGGAATGTGACGTAGTCAAGACCGCTCGAAATGGCTCGAACCCGTTATTACAGCTTAACGTACACATGAATTTTGAAATTATGGTCAAAAATGATCGATTTTTTTTTGAATGTTTTGTTTTGTTTATAATTTAATATAAAATATATTTTCAGTAGCGTAAAACCTTTACTTTTCCTAAAGATTCATGCGAAATATTTATTTTTGTTTTCATACTAATAATATTAGCATTTTTTTGTATGTAAATCCGTTGAAATTTAAAAATTTAACGGATTTTGTGCAAAGAAATACTGTTAATATACAAATAATATAATATGAAAATAAGACACAAATTAGTTTAAACGCAAAAAAAAACTAAATATCGACTTCAGACGACTTAAACGGTTATCAATGGTGACGATGCAAAATGCAAGTTATGAGATAGTAAATATATTTTAAACTAGGTACCTCAATACTGACTGAGTCATTTATTTGATAATAGAAAAATAATTTAGATATATGCTTACCTATTTTTGTCTCTTTACACAAATATCCACTTTGCTAGGGCTTATAAAATTTGATGAGTAAAATTTAACGTATCCCAGACGAGCGCGTAAAAAATTACCAGTAAGGTCCGCCTGTGTCTGGGACTTGTGTATACTTGTATTGAGTTACTGTTTATTTATACTATATAGTATTTTTTTGTAAAACTAAAAGTTTTTTATTTTAATTGTATATCTGGTTTTCTACCTTTTTCAAAATGCTTTGTGCAGTTGTTTCTTGTAATAAAGTTTTTATACATTTCCTAAAGATAGTTTGATCAGATAACTGTGGGTAATATCTTGCTGTAGACAGGATAACGTTAATTGTAATATTGCAAGAATTTCTTCTAAACATTTTAAAACTTACAAATAACACCTTACTTAAATAACAGTTTAAGTATAGTCAAGACAAAATTTGAGAGTGATGATTCATTGACAACTAGAACAAGACTAAACATATCGGCTATAATGGAGTTTTTAACATTATGTACTGATAATACATATTTTCAACTAAATAATGAATTCTATAAACAAAATTTTGGTCTAGCAATGGGCTCTAGTTTATCTCCATTCTTTATCATCATCATCAGTGGTGCTACAGCTCTAGTTGAGCCTTGACCGTCCCCAGTCTATTTCGCCAGTCGTTTCTGTTCATCGCCAACCGTTGCCAATTTGCCGCGCCGATTTTCCTTGCGTCCTCGTCCACACCGTCCCTCCATCTCAGTCGTGGTCTGCCTCTACTCCTATTTCCCACTGGGACCGATAATAGAGTTCGTCTGGGTGGGTAATTTTCATTTGCTCTTGACACATGTCCAGCCCATCTAAGCCTACCTATTTTTATGAAGGATATTACATCTCTACCATTTACTATTTTTTTTATACTTCTCGTACAATTCGAAATTATATCGCCTTCTCCAAATACCATTCTCACAGAATGCGCCCATTATTCTTCTTAGTATCTTTCTTTCGAAGACGAGCAGAAGATTTTGCGTCTGTTTTGAAGATGGTCCATGTTTCTGACCCATATGTCAGCACTGGTAGGATGAGTGTTCGATATATTATTAGTTTGGTTTTCTGGCTTAAATTTCTGTTTTTTAGCTGCTTGCTTAGTCCAAAATAACATTTGTTTGCTAGCAGTACCATCCGTTTAACTTCATCAGATGTGTCATTATCGTTTGTTATGAGAGAACCCAAATATGTAAACTTATCTACTACCTCAAAATTATATTGGTCTATGCTGAAGTTTTGTTCGGCGTTTCTAGCTCTATCTCTGTTATTTGGAGTAGATGCTAACATTTTGGTTTTTTCGTTTATTTTAAGGCCCATATTTTGTGCGGCTGTCAAAAAGGTGGAAGTCATCTCTTTAAGTCCTCGTGTAGTACGTGCGATCAAATCCAGATCGTCAGCGTAAGCCATAATCTGCGTTGATTTATTAAAGATTGTTCCCCTATTGTGTAACCCGGCATCTCTTATAGTCTTTTCTAACGCTATATTAAAGAGAAGGCACGCCAGCGCGTCTCCCTGCCGTAAACCTGCATATGTTTCAAACGCTTGTCACATATCGCCTTGTATTTGCACTCTGCAGATCACTTTACTCATGGTTGTTTTTACGAGCCTTATTAATTTATGGGGAATGTTAAGTTCATTCATGGCTCCGTATAATTTACCTCTTAGGACGCTATCATACGCTGACTTAAAGTCCACAAAGAGATGGAACGTGTCAATATTAAATTCATTTTTTTTTTTCTAAGATTTGACGTAGCACAAAAATCTGGTCAATTGTTGACCTACCTGGCCTAAAACCGCTTTGATATTCACCAATGATTTCTTCCACGTACGCACTTAAACGGCTGTACAGGGTGTTAGAGAATATTTTGTACATTGTATTCAGAAGAGTTATACCCTATAATTTTTACATTCCAACAAATCTCCCTTTTTGTGTAGTGGACATATGATTCCAGTGCACCATTCCTCTGGCATTTGTTCTTTTTCCCAGACTTTGACTATTATATTGTGAATTTGGTGCATAATGCTGTTACCTCCATGTTTGGTGAGCTCTGCGGGGATACAATCCACTCCTGGGGACTTGCTATTTTTGAGTCGTGTGATTGCGTCTTTCACTTCAAATATTCAAGGAGGTTCTACGTGAGTGTTATTTCTTGGTCTTTGGGGTAACGCATCATTTTCCACTTCGGTACCAACTAGTTCTTTGAAGTGCTCAACCCATCTGCTTTGTACTGCGTCAGCGGTACTGACTATATGTCCATTTTTGTCTCTACACATCGTGAGCCGTGGTTTAAATTCTTTTCTTGTCTTATTTAGGATATTATAGAACTTTCTAGTTTCATTTTGCCCCTTTAATGATTGAAGCTCTTGCATAATCTGGTTTTCGAAGGTCCGCTTTTTCCTTCGATGTATGCGTTTTTCCTCCTTCCTAAGATTCTCCCCCCCGCCCTTCTCCATTCTTAGCCGATGAAACAAATATCATTTCTAAACAAAATTTCAAACCCACAGTATGGTAGAGGTATATAGATTATGTATTCTCAATATGGCCTCATGGATCAGAGTTGTTGGACACATTCCTAAATGATATAAACGATAAAGAAGAGACAATAACATTTACCATGGAAAAGGAGTATAATAACACGCTACCTTTCCTGGATGTTTTAATCTCTAAGAACGATACTGGATATGAGACTCAGGTGTATAGAAAACCAACACATGCCAATAGATATTTAAATTTCAAATCAAATCACAATATTAATGTAAAAAAGGGAATAATTAAATCCTTATACGATAGAGCCAAAATTACTTGTTCTAACGAAAATTCGTTCTTGGAGGAGAAAGATTTGTTAACATCTGTTTTATTAAAAAATGATTATCCTTTATCATTTATAAATAAGGAATTTTCAACAATCGATCGAATAGAACAGAACAACTTAGAACGAGATCCTACAGCATACACAAGGAATAATATCAGGAAAATAACAATACCGTACATAAAAGGATTATCAGAAAAACTTAAAAGGATAGGAAATAAATTCAACATTTCAACAACATTCAAAATAACAAACACGTTGACATCTATTTTGTCCAAAAAATGCAAAGAATTGCATTTATAAAATACCTTGTGAATGCGATCAGTTTTATTTAGGTGAATCATCAAGGCCATTAAATGTTAGAGTAAGTGAACATCAATCTTATATTAAAAATAGAGAATTTGATAGATCTCAAATATGTAAACACGCATGGGATAATGAACATAGGGTTCAATGGAATAATTTAAATGTAGTCCTAAAAGAAACGGATGGTAAAAAAAGAGAAATCAAAAAAGCGTCTCTAATTATGCTAAATAAGGCCAATTGTGTCGCAAATTCCTCGGCAGAATGTAGAAGGATCTGGTTACCAATGTTGAAAGAGGAAGTTATTAATAAGAAAATACCAGTATTAGTAAGTCAGTAACATATAGAGAATACATCATTTATGTTTTTTAAATAACGTAACATATAAAATCAGAATTTTGATGTTTGTTGAAGGTAAACTAAATTCACGAACAAATACTTACAATGTCGGTATAGTATTATGAGGTTTTTTTTCCTGGGTTTTCTCTCATAATTTACTATGGAATCACTAACAGTAGAATTTTACTGTCATCATGTCAAGTGTTTGTCTTTTTAAAAACGAATAACATGCTATGATTTTTCTGACGGATATTCTCAAGTTAAAGTTGATTTCATGTAATCGAATGAACTATCTTATAAGTAAAGTCGTCCCAGGAGCGCAACTCAAGAATATTGGCAATATCATTTTAAAGTCGTCTACTTTAAAATGCATATATTATGTCTGAATTGTCAATGTAAATGAGTCAGATAAAATTAAATTATTAAAAGAATTTTTCACTATGTAACAAAAAACAAAATTTGTTTAATTTACTGTTTGTATTTTGAGAACGATTTCCGAAGTGGAATTTGAAACGTCAATAAACGTATTTGTATCTTTAATTGTGGCTTATTCCCAGTTAAATAGTAATTAGGAGATAATGACGTACACAGCCGAAACAAGAGCAGATACGGCGAAAACACAAAGACTGCTGTCAAAAACAGAAATGAAGGTCTTACGAAAAGAGACAGAGTAAAGAGTGAGGAAATACGAGCGAGATGTGGTATAGAGGAAATAAACGCGTGGACCAAAAAAAGAAAAGTGAAATGGAATCGACACATCGAAAGAATGGCAGAAAATAGAATAGTATGAATAGCAGATCGCCAAATGAAAGAAGGTCATTGGAACGACCGAGGAAAAGATGCTTAGATAACGTCAATTGAGGGTAAAAACCGAAGTGAAACAGGCATTAAGCCTATTTATAAAGTAGAAATAAGAAGAAGACCTAGTTCTTTCGCCAACACTAGGGGTTGCCATTTTCTAGAGATGTTACTGCTTCGCTTGTAAGTTTTATTTTACAAGCGAACCAGTTACCTCTCTAGAAGATAATAACCCCTAGTGTTAGTAGAACCAATCTCAGAAAACAAGGGCCTAACAGCCTGAACAAACAGTTTGACAAATTTGCTTTGAGTTTATTAAGATTTATTAAAATTTTATAGATTCTATTTTACTTACTTTATAAGTTCCTAATTTTTATTACCTGTCATGGTCCACCTGAAATTGTCTACACTCGATTCTATGCTTGTATCAAATGTATCTCGCCACTAGAAGGCACGTACTTTATTTAAAATACAGTTTTTCTATAGTTTAATGTACTCAAAATTTTATTTACACTTGTTTTAGATTTAAAGAAATATTCTTAAAAAAGTATCAGATTGCAAATTTTGTGGACGCCGAAGGAAACCACTTACTACGATGGAAGGGAAACGGTTATAAGATATATCTCGATGTTCTAACAAAAAAATACCCAAATCCAGAAAAAGAACTTCCGGTAAAAAACAAAATTCTTTTAAATAAAGAAGTTACTAAAATTACCGTAAACTCCTCTAACAATAAGGTGAACATTGTATGCTCTGATGGATCTACATACGAAGCAAAACATTTAATATTTACACCATCTTTGGGAGTTTTAAAAGCAAAAGCAAACCATATATTTAATCCAAAACTACCACAAAATAAATTACAAGCTATAGAAAATATAGGATATGGTGTTATTGGGAAAGTATTTCTTAAGTACGAGACAAAGTGGTGGGGTGATTTACCGGGTTTTACTTTATTGTGGAACAAAGAAGATTTAGAATCTTCAAAAGAAAAATTTCCAGAAGGACCTATCACTAGCGTAAGTATTACATAAATATTTTCGCATCAACTACTAAGGGATAGTATTGCTGGGACAGGCACATACGGAAAGATAACTAATATATACCTTATATATATATATATATATATATATATATATATATATAATCATACTTTACAGCTTCATAAATGGTTCAGTTGTTTTGAAATAATCTAATAAAGCTATTTAATTGAAGGTAGCCAACGAGTAAACATTACCTTGCCCTATCGGTATAGTCTTAATTACTTTCTCGATTTCTACCAGTTTACGAACCATTTCTTATAGTAATAATTATGTGATAATTTGAATTATTTTGTGTGTTATGGAAACAGCGATTATTATTGGACTATAATATGTGTATACTAGAACGTCTGTTCTAGTCCACCCACTAGTGGAGTGGAAGTTCACACCACGAAACTATATGTCGCTGCTACTTTATTTAAACCTCCACCTCCTACTTCCCCACGTAAGCAGCAAGCCATTTTAATGCACGCTATTCCAAATACTGTTTTATTTGACTATGTTAAAGCTATAGGGGACATTGTTATCCTAAAAAATATTACCTTTGCATCACGTATCCCAAATAACGGCATCTGTATTTATTTTTCTTCGCCTACAGTTGTCGATAACCTTCTAAAAATACATCAAAGTATCTCTATCAACTCTACAGTAGTTCCCATCAGAAGACTTATCACCCCAGCTAAACGGCTTCTTAGATCTGAGTCGTTTAGTTTCAAAACCAGATACATCACTATTTTCACGAAATTAAGATTAAGTCGTTTTTGGCAAGTTAAAGGCTACATCCATGTACCTGATAAATCTTACGCTTCAAAAACGGATACTTCTAATTGATTTTAGCCTTTAAATTTTCGAGTTAGTTTCAAAACCAGATAAGTCATACAACGTCTGTTTTAAAAGCAGATACATCACAGACGTCAATATGGCTTGCTAACATTTGAATTACGTCATCCACAGCTGGATTTCTCAGCAATGAGAAATGAGCTGGATTTCTCAGCAATAAGTATTACTCACAAACTTGTGTGTGTTTGTGTTATCATCTAAAGTGTTTTCTTCCTGTAAATTTGATTGCTTGTTAAAATACAGTGCAAGAGTGAAAATAATGGAAGTCCATCCTTCACAGACGGAAAATCTCCGGAAGAGAAAACGAAAGATAGATGCGTGGGCAAGGGAAGCAGTTAAAAAGCAACGGAAAATTTTAGGTTAGGTTGTATTTAATTCTTTTTATTAATGTGGTTTTTGGCTTTAGCTCTCTAAAGGGCAATTAATTAACCAGCATACTTCAGACAATTAGTTAGCACACTTCAGATAAGTTCTGCAATCGATTTATCTTACAGAAAATGCGTTTTTAAGTATTCAGGACTTTTATTTTTTTACAGATATGGTCCTCCTGGTCCACCGAAGAATATAACTTGTCGACATGGAAAAAAAGGGTCAGCTTGTCGTTGCGGCGAAATACAACGTTGTGATCAGTTAATATTTCACAAAAAATTTTACGGGACAAGTAGTGAGGGATCCTTAGACTTAAAAAGTAAACAAGACTCACTAAGTTAAAATACACGGATGATTTTGCTCCAAAAAAATCAAGACTTCTTACCAACACAAAGGGACCTAAATCAATGACTGTATCGTGTTTTATTTTCTGTAAAAATAAAAAAGAAAAGATTCGTGTATGCCAAATGGCATTTCTAGACACTTTGCGCCTATCAAAGAACAGGGCAACAGGTGTTGTTACTCGACATTTTAACTCTGGTAAAATGCCTTCAGAGACTAGGAGAGGCAATCGAAAATACAAACTATATGAAAAGAAAGGAGAATCTGTAATAGCTTTTATAAAAAAATTTAATGTAATCGAAGCCATTATTACAGAAGTAAAATCTGTAACCGCATGTATTTAAGTTCGCATCTAAAAACAAAACTTTAGAATACATATTTCCAGTTGTTGGACATTCGTTCTTACCCTCTGATAGGGTTTTCGCGCGCATTGAAAAAAGAAAAAATCTGATGTTATAATAAGTCCCGAAGAGGACTTTAGTTTAGTTTAGTTTAGTTTATAAACAAAGAGCAAGTCAAAAGAATAATTTGTTATTTTATTTTAGGATGGAGGCTCTTGGATTACTGGACTTTCTAATATTATAGCTATACCCAATACTAATTTGCTCTTGGTGTGGCTCAGTGAAGAAATTGTTCCGGCCGTAGAAACCATGGACGAACAAATGTTGAAGAATGGTATTTACTATACATTAAATATGTTTTTGGGAAATAAGTTTGATATACCGAAAAATCCTAAATTATTAAGGTAATTATAATGTGATTAATAATTAATATACAAATATTAAACCACAGTTTTACCTTTAAACTAATTTAATACCACATTTTTATTTTTTTATTTATTTTTTTTATTGGGTTAATACCTCGACAACTATGATTATTGGCATGGTACAGTTAGGTACCTAGTGTAGTGTGTGTGTGTGTGTGTAGAGTAATTGTCTTGATACTCAGCAAAGTCGACGTCATTGTCTTTGCTAAGAGACGCTTATTGTATCCGAACGTCTGCGGTCCCTCTGGTGAGTACCGATCGCACAAGGATAGAAATTATTTTCATTTATTAATTTTCAATAAATGAAAATTTCCACCCAGATTGGATTCGAACTCACGACCTTTAGATTTAAAGGTAGGCGCTATTACCACTGAGCCACAGAGGGGGTTATGATTTTTATTTAAATGTTCTAGTTTTAGTTTAAAAACAACTTATGTACAGCTTTAAAAATAGGTAAAAGATGTAAATGTAATAACGGTAAAAAATGTCCAGAAAGCACCCAAAAACATGTTAAAATCGTTTAGATTCGTAATATTTTTTAATACTTCACAACAGTTTTTAGGCTTACCACACTCTGTGGTTACCAGAGCCGGTCCCATACTGCTCAAAAAAAGAATGTACAGCATTGGGACCAGATTGGGTCCAGCCAAAAATAAGGACGAGTGAAAAACATCCAGAACCCAGATGACAATTACTACTTGGAATATCAGATCGCTCAACTTTAGGGACAAAAAATAATCCAAGTTCTAAAAGAGAAAGAAATAGACATTTGTGCTTTACAGTAAAGAAAAAAGACAGAAAAGAACAACGAGAATTAAGAAAATACATACTAATCTAAGTAGAGTAGCAAAAGAAAACAGAGCCAAAGAAGGTGTAGCCTTACTATGGTCGGCAATTTTCAACTAAAGATAACGAATCTACAAACTGAACTAAACGGTAGCGGCAACCATGTACAATTTCAGCAGTAAATTCTTACTGGGTCTTTTTTATTGTGTATTCTTCGCCCATATAAATATGTGAAAAAGTAAGATCAATTTGCCCCCATAACAATATAAATTGTAGCGATTCACGAGTGTATAGTGAGACAAGTTGATTAAATAGTTTGAAACATCGGTAAACTGATCAATAATTTGCTGGTCTATATTATATTTTCTTCACTATTTTAAATTATAAATATATGTCGGCTTATGCTTTTTCTTATAATGTGCAGTTCTTTATCTTCATCCTTTGACCAATGCATATTAACTTGAAACAGAGTGTAAGCCAGATAATATATATATATATATATATATATATATATATATATATATATATATATATATGCTAATAATTTTTGTTTTAATCTATGTTATTCATTTCAAAATCGTAACGGTTATTCTGGGATGCATAAATATTTGTAAAATATGGAATGATCTCAATTACTTTTTTATCAAAAAAGAGTGAAGAGAACTTCAATATATGACTTGCCTCCATGATTGGCGTTTATATTCTCTAAATATCAATCAGAGTGATGTTGAATTACTACTGAGCACGAATGAGTATCTGTTGTTACAACTAAAGACAAATTTGGATTTACTATTTTTGCCTGGTTTTTTCTTTGGACGTTTTATCTGTGGTTCAGAGGAATATCATAATCAGAATTTTCAATCACTTGTATTTCATATGTACCTGCAATATCCGATTTTATTGATTCTTCACAAATATTATTGTCATCAATGTCTTCTACATCAGAAACTTTCTAATCTAATCTCGGTCGCAAATAAACCACATTAAGTGAGTCAGCATTTAAATAATCTGAGTCTTCTTCTAACAAAGGCATTAACTCTTTAGTAGTTAGTGCCATCTTCATATCATATTTCGAGAATTTACTGAAATAAACAAATGCACTACTACATAAACGCATTCTCATGATAATAGTTTATCTTACTTTATTTTAATTTATATGAACTTTATAATACATTTTTATATATAAACAAATAATCACAAGAAAACTTTGAAATTAAGTTTTTTCAAAGTTGTCTGTTTTTTGAAGTTCTGTATTAGGTACTCTACTCTCTAAAATTTTACTTTATTTTGTTAGACAACTATAACCTACCTGTTAAAAGACACATGATAATTTAATAATTACATCGGTCTTAGATTTAATTTTTACTTATGTGTTTAAATCAACAATTAAATTTTTTTTGGTACGCCATTGCAAAATTGATAAGTGAAATATGATTTTGTTGAAAAGTTATCGAAAAGAGCTTCGGTAAATGTGATGTTGCCAAGTAATTACTTTAAATTAGAAATTGTTTTAGTATAATACAGCAAAGGTACCAATATCACATCGAAGAGTGTCAATACATATCAGTAAGAATGAAAACAGCAAAGATAAGAATGGAGAAGAAAGATCTGTACATCATCGGAGTATACGGCCCAGAAAGAACAAGCCTCAAACAGCAAGGAAAGCGTTTAATGACCAATTATAACAAATAGTAAATCAAGTCAGACGGAAGATGATAATATTGGGGGATTTTAACGCTAGAATAGGCAATCAAGTAATACCAGGAATTAAGCAAAAAGATAACGATATTGTCAAAAGCAACACATTTTTTTGACCACAAAGACCAACACAAATATACATTTAATAACACACGTGAACAAAGATCTTTGGTAAATTATATGACACACTATATAAATTCGTTATAGTAGCACTGATATTAACGATTATTAGATGCAGACAATATACTATTTATTTTTACACTTTAAAAAAATACTGACGTTGATATGACAACAGAAATAATTATTCCTTTATCAACATTTTAACAGCGACATGCGTTTTTCAGCTATTAACCTTGGACAAACCCATCCATATTTCCGTACTCGCTGCAAAAACTCGTTATACATATTTGGGCTAGACATTTCCATCTTACTTCAATTCATATCGTACACAACATTGATATGACAACAGAAATAATTCCTTTATCAACATTTTAAAAGCGGCGTGGTTTATTTTTAAAAATTAATATTATATTTTATTTACAAACTTTTATGGTTCTTCTTCTTCTTCACGTGCCATCTCCTCTAAGAAGGTTGGAAACCATCACTGCAATTCGCACTTTTGACGCCGCTGCTCTAAAGAGGTCAGCAGAAGTGCAGTTAAACCAAGATCTCAAATTATTTAACCAGGAGATGCGTCTTCTTCCGCGACTCCTTCTACCCTGTATTCTTCCTTGCATTATTAATTGTAACAAGTTATAATGCTTGCCCCTCATAACATGTCCCAGATATTGCAGTTTTCTGACTATAACTGTATTTAAGACTTCTTTATCTTTTCCCATGGTTACAGAACCGTAACAGGTTTAGATCTATTGTTAGGGTTTTTCATTCACGCAAGCAACTTTAACATGACAAGGACCACTTTCGTAGCTAAAACCGATGACCATAGGTGCAGGGACCTCAAAGCACGGTGGAGACTAAGTTAAGCCGTCTGGTTTGATTGTGGGGTTTTCTATCAGATTGGAATTTCTGATGTCTGGATTCCATTCGCCCTTTCAGTGCTCTTTCGTAGTGAAAACAGCTAATTTTGTAGCAATTCTAGTAGGTGGATGTCTGGATTTCAGTCTTAACTGCCTTTGGTGTAGTTCAGCGATGTCTGTGTTTAACGGTAGTTCTGGGTTTTGTTGGCATTTTTGAACTAGAGTATTGAGTGCGGCTAGTCGTCTTGTGCTGGTGGAGCGATGTTGCTTAAAACTGGAAGCCTTTGGGTTGGTGTGGGCTTTATAGTTCCCGTTATGTGCCTCATTGTTTGGTTTAACTGGGTATCTATGACTTTTGTGTAATGACTGTTTAGTCAGAAAGGAGCGCAATATTCTGCAGTAGGATATACTAAGGACAGCGCTCTCATTCTTATTACCTCTGCATTCGACCCCATGATGTATTTGCTAACTTATGGATAATATTATTGCGGGTCTTAATTTTTGCTGAAGTGTTTTCCAAATGCTTTTTGAATGTTAGGTTACGATCTAGAGTTACGCCGAGGTATTTGGGGTTAGCACTGTAGACTGGTTCAATCGCATTCTATATTTAGTCTGTAATTTGACTTTTTGTTGTTTAGATGGAACGCTCTTACTTCAGTTTTCGATGGGTTTGGTTGTAGGCCCCATTTCTTAAAGTATCTGTTAACAGTGTTTAGATCTGCTTCTATGGTGGTTTCGGCGATGTTTATGTCTTCTTCTTGGGCACCCAAAGCCATGTCATCGGTAAAAATAAATTTTCGTGAGGTGTTAGTTAGTACATCTGACGTATAAATATTAAAAAGAAGAGGAGACATAACTGACCCTTGTGGCAAACAGTTTTGCAGATTTCTGAAGTTACTATTTTTCTCATTTAGGTGTACTTGGAAAAGTCACTTAGCATTTGGTTTAACAACCTGTTGAACGCACGGCACGGTAAGATCTGGTATATTTTATATAAAAGGCCTTCTTTCCACACTGTGTCGTAGGCGCAGGTCAAGTCTATGAATGCTGTTACTGTTTTCAGTTTCTTTTGGAATCCGTTCTCAATAAATGTTGTTAAGGAGAGGACTTGGTCGCCACAGCTTCTTCCCGGCATGAATCCAGTTTGTTCTTGAGGAATATTTGACTTTGTAAAGTAAAATAGTCTCGTTTGGATTATCCTCCCGAAAATCTTGTACCAGACGCTTAAAAGAGCGATTGGTCTGTAGCTCTCAGGTAATGCAGGGTCTTTCCCAGGTTTAGATATTGCGATGATCATACTTTTTTTAAAAAATTTTGAAAATTTTTCAGTTCTTCTGGTGATTACGCCAATATAACAGAGTCATCTGCATAACGTAGGTTTTAGATATTTCTTCCTCCTATCGTTGCTCCCACTTGTCGTTTCAATAAAAACTTGACGCATAATCATCATCATCATCATCTTCCAGCCTTCATTTATCACGTCCACTGCTGAACATAGGCCCTTCTTAATCGCCTCCATTCATTATCGCATGATGCATAATATGTTCACTAAATATATATTGCATAGAATTGGGGATATTATGCATCCCTGTTAAACTTCAAGTTCTCATTATGTGTTACTTTTATTATTTGTATATTTTTATATTTTTCTACATTTATAAATGATGAGAATTTTGTTAAAGTGTTACTCATTTGGAGTTACGTTTACTATAGTTACTTCAAAAGTAAAAAGATCCTTATATAGTCTAAAACTAAAATAATTTCTTTCCTGATTCTGTAGAAATACAATTGAACCAATATAAAAGAACTATGAGTAAATTAAATAATAGTACATCACTTTACTCTTTTACAGGTCTAACTGGTACAACAGTCCCAATTTCCGAGGTAGTTATTCGTACACATCAAGGAAAACCAGACCAGAAGATAGACAGCATTTGCTAGAACCTATTACTACTAATGATGGTCGGCCCATCATTCAGTTTTCTGGCGAAGCTACAAATCGTGTTCATCCTGCGTCTGTGCATGGTGCTATAGAGTCTGGTTATAGAGAAGCGGAAAGGCTTATGAAGTTTTTAAAAGGAAATTAGAGTTAAATTAGACTTGAAATTAACACTATATAAAAAATTGTATTGACAAAACTTTGTGCAAAAACAATTTTGCATAAATTATAAAAAAATAAAGAAGTGAAACTAAAAACCTTTTAATTTCATTTTTTTTAATAAGTTACACTTTAAAAAGTTAAAATAGTAATACTAAATACAGTGAACGTCTAAATTATGGAATATTATCATTATTTCGAAAACCGTCGTGTTTTAAGTGAAAATACCGAAACAGGTTGATTTTTGTTATAAAATACCCTTCTTATAACGTACATGGAGTAGGGATGACGTCACCGGTGTAGGCGTAGTGACGTAATCGTTAATTTTTTTAAATAAAAATAGGTATAATACGACACTTCATTTAAACGAGAATTTAATTCTCTATTTAACGACATTACATTTTTAACTAAAATATTTTTTTAGGGTATAAAATCAATTGTTTTTAATTTAAATTCAACTAAATTACAACTATTGATTTATTTTATAATATACAGTAGTCTCTCTTTATAACGATTTCCTATATAACGTTAAATTCTCTATAACGATGAAAATAGTAAACGTTGGTTGGTTCGTCATACGGAGAATGTATTCTTTTTTTATACCGATATCGTTCTCTACTTATAGCGACGATTTTTCAGCGTTCAATAGTCGATGACAAATGTGTTATTGTGTTTTGAGTTCCGACTACCTGAGTCAAGAGTGGCAAGATCATTGTCCAGCGGTTGTTTTGTTTTTGGAAGAAGAAGAAGAAGGCGGAAGAAGTTGCGAAAACCTCACCATGAAGATTAAGATCGCGCTATGCTACCGTGGTTCCAGCAGCAGCGTATGAACCATATTCCACTTTCTGGGCATGTGGTCAGCACAAAAGCTGTGTTTTTATGCAACTGATCTTGGAATTGAAAATTTCAAGGCATCTGAGGGTTAGCTGAGCAAGTGGAAGAAAAATGTAAAGGATGATTTGCTAGAAAACGTGTGGCCTGGACTGAAGGCACGATATACGTCACACGATATTTTCAATGCTGATGAGACCGGATTGTTTTTTAAAATGACACCAAATAGAACTTTAAAATTCAAATCGGAAAAGTGTGTTGGTGGAAAGCTCTCTAAGGAACGCATTACAGTTTTAGTGGCCGCTAACCTGACAGGTTCGGTAAAGCAAAAATTGTTACTGATAGGGAAGATGAAAACCCACGTTGCTTTAAAAACAAAAAATCTACCAGTGACCTATAAAGTAAACAAGAGTCGTGGATGACTTCGGCAATTGAAGAAGCGATAAAAAAGTGGGATATCGAGTTTAATGAGAAAAAAATTCTTCTGCTTGTAGACAATTGTCCTGTTCATCCTGTGCTGTGCCACCTTTAAAACATCGATCTTTGTTTTCTGCCAGCAAACACAACTAGTGTCCTTCAGGCCATGGATCAAAGTATCATCAAGAGTTTGAAAAGTCACTACAGGAGAAGACTTTTGATGGAATTGGTGAAGAACAAAGGCGATCTTAAACTAAACATTCTTGATGCAATCCTAATGATTAGTAAATCCTGGGACGAGGTGACGAGCAATACAATAAAATATTTATTTAAACACGCAGGATGGCTGAAAGATCCGAAGGAAAGACCGATGATAAAAATGACCTACCATTAGATGTTTAAACTAGACAGTTTGAATTTACCATCACCTACAGATCGAAAGAGCTAACAGATTTTGAAGAAGTTGATGAACATGTAGCTACAATATCTGGATTTTCTGACTAGGACATCCTACAAGCAGTTCGTGTAGAAGAAGAAGAAACCAGTGACCCGGAAATGGACGCAGAGCCAAAACCAGCTCCGAACCCGTAGTAGAAATTGGAAACACCAAAAGTATTACATTGATTCTTCATTCACTATTAAGACGATATGAGTACTGTGGAAGATTCAAAGGACATTTGAAAATTGGGAAAAGCAAAACTTACCAAAAGAAAGCAAGCATTAAGTGATTTGGTATTAACAAAATATCTTTAGAATATAAGAACATAGGCGATATGAAATGTTCAACGAATACTTCACACTAAGGTAGAATTATAGATAAAAAATCGTAGTATTAATAGTTTTAAGTATGTAGAATAAAGATATGTAACTGAAATTAATTATTGTTCTGCTCTTTCTCTTCAGCCAAGTTAGAGCGTAGATTTTCTTACTTGTCTACAAGTTTTTGTTCATATACATGTATATTATGGGTAAGTACTCTATACATGATGTGATGGATTCGACGGTTACTTGATGGAAGTTTAGTTTATTAAGCAATAAAACACTGAAAACTTTTTTATTTTCAACACTTCTACAAATTTTATTATAATTTACTATCACTGCAGTTGTTTTGGCAGAGTGTCTTATTGTGTGAAGATTGAGCTATTTTTGTTATGCGTCTAATCTTTTGTAGTCTTTAACTGAATAAGCTGAGGAGGAAGAAACTGTTTCCAGCTTATTATCGAGCTGATTATCGAGCCTTACCAAGTAAACTGCCAAAAATCTGCCAAGATTAGTTTGTGCAAATTTAAATGGGAAAAAAGAAAAACCTTTGGTGACCGGTAAAAGTAAAAATACTTGATGTTTTAAAAATTTTCATGTTGATAAACTCAAAGTCGACTGGTACTACAACAAGAAGGCCTGGATGACTAAAGATGTCATAACAGATTGGCTGTACAAATTTAACAGAAAAATGAAAGGTCGAAAAAGAAAAACTCTCCTATTCCTAGACAACACAACATCCCATCCAGATACTCACTAAATATAAAAAGGTTAATACAATTTTATTTTATTAAACAGTTCAGAATATTCCAATTAAATAACACTAAGATTTCTTATAATGCTGAATTATTCTATTAGCTTCTCTAAATCCGGATTCTACGGCTCCATGAACAGTGGAGTGATATATTCGATGAGTTGCTTCTCCAGCAAATTGCAAAATCGGTACACCCATAGAGTTAGTGATAGGCTGTTGAAGAATTTCGACATCATGGACGGTAGAATTTACTGATGCAAAGGAATAGGTGCCCCTAAAGTGTGGATTTGTGTACCAGGTTGTTCTAAAATTAAAGAAATGGTGTAAAAATGTAAAAGTTCTTCATAGTAAAATCGCAAGTATTTAAAAAGGTATAAAAAATGGTTCCAGAAGGTTATAGACCACTTTAATGATTATTCCTTGTAGTAAATGTTTGCGAATGTTGTTAAAATGGTACCATCACAAAATTTTAAACTATGTACGGAGATTTAACCGGTAATAATAATGCAAATAACAGGTAATTAGTGACACTACTAGCTGACTACTAGGGAGGAGAGGCAGATGTTTTATAAGAGAAAATCTTTCTTTCTCAATTTAATTATAGGACGTGAATTTTTTGCCATATTAAATATTATTATTTGGAGTGAAAAATATTATCAGAAAAATATTATTTTGTTTATTCTGGTTTGTATTGGCGAAGATTAGTATAATAATGATAATAAGGTGTGCTGAATCATATGTGGTCCATCATTAATTCAATAATTAACTTACTTTAATATTTGTTGTGGTTTAGGAACATTAAACACATGTCCAAAAAATTTATCAAATGTAAACTCGATTCCTCGTTGTAAAGTAGCGTCATCCATTTTTTCTATAGTAGGCACCAATTCTCCAGTGAACCATACAAGTAAAATGTTTGAGTGGGGTACCACAAAAATGTTGTGCATTTCTACGATCCATGACTGGGATTTCTGGAAAAATAAAAGTGTATTAGTTGAACAGTTACGAGAATGTTATGGAACTTAGACTACGTTGGTAATCTAGATAGTAAATTAAAAAGAAATCAACAGAAAAATTGAAACAAAAAGTTAAAATAGAAGGAATCAATTAAAATATTATACCATATTTCTTAAACTTAATGCCAACTTTTCTGGGATAATGCTTACTCTGGGGCTATGCAGATTTGAACGCAAATGGAGACGCAGTTGAAAGGGCTCAAACATGGACCGAGACATGGACCGAAACGAGCGGCCTTATGTTAATTCATAATCCTTAACTTTTACCATTTTTTTAGAGCAAAGTTTGACAGAGGATATAACCCGGATATCTGTTTTTTAAGATCGATGTACCAAAGTAGTCTATGGTCCCATACTAAAAACTCAGCATATACCAATGGGTATAAATATATTTACAATTGTCAGACCACCAAATATTCCATTCAGAAGGAGAATTATCTTCACAAAGGCAAACTGGAACATACAAACCAACCTATGTCTTGAAGTAACTCTGGACTGGTCCCTCACCTACGCTCACCTAGATAACAATGCATAAAAACAAGAGGGAAAGTGAAACAACTAGGAACAGCATACTCAAAAAGCTAACGCGAAGTAACTGGGGTGCACGTTCACCAGCACGGGGCGTTTAAAAAACAACGGCACAGTCACGGTGTTCTTAACTACGGAATAGTGTGCCACTTTTGAAACAGATCTGCACCAAACAAGTTAATACTGCTCTAAATGAGACATGCAGAGTGGTAATGGGGTGCATGAAACCAACGCCAGTCTCAAATCTATGTAAAGCAGCGAGTTTTGCAGAACCCTCAACACGCAGAGCCGTTGCAGAGCACATAGAGAAAATGAAAGAGATCGCGAACGAGTGGCATGCCCTATACAAAGCTCGAACACCACAAAAGCGACTAAAATCTAGGAAAAGCTTCCTTGAAACAGTGCAATATAAACCGTCTTAGTATTTTTCTCTTCCCTAGGTTCAATGGACCTACCAGTTAGTAGACTTTAAAAACCGTGGAAAACTATAAATAGGATAAGCACGGGGGTCGCTCCAGTGAAATCAAACATGGCAAAATGGGGAAAAATTGACCAAGATGATCTGAACTGTGACTGTGAAGAAACACAGAATATGGAATATCTTACATGCAGAAACTGTCCTCATCGATGAACCCTCGAAGATTTGTGTCGTGTCAATAAAGATGGAACCGACGTAGCCCGATACTGGATCGAAATTTTATAAATGACATTTCCAGACACGATAAAGAAAGAAAAGAAGACTGTTAATATTTATTTTATAAACTTATTGTTAATAGTACTATATTCCTAATTAATCTATAAAAATATTGGATTTCGCAATAAAAGTGTATTGATTTTTTTGTACATTTATCCCAAATCGCAAATTACTTCACGTCTTGAAAATACTATACATGGACATGCTACATCATGTTAATCCTTATATTGGAATAACTATATTAATATAAAGATATCGATACTTACAGAATTTAAGGGCTCTAGCGGAAATTGCTTTGTTACAGCTTTTCTATCTTCTTCGGTCCAAACTAAATTTATACCAGGTAAATTTCCCCACCACATTCTATCGTATTTTACAAATACCTTAACTACAGCACCAAATCCTATTTTATCAATGGCTTCTAATTTTCCTGTTGGTAGTTTTGGAGTAAATAGCGACTTAGCGTCATGTTTGAGTACTCCCAAGGAAGGTGTAAATACAACATGTTGCGCTTTATAGGATGTACCATCGCTACATATAATTTTGTTCCCATTGTCATTTGTTATAATCTGTTTAACCTCTTTATTTAGCAAAACTTTATTATCGATTGGAAGCTGCTCCTTAGGGTTGGGATATTTTTTTGTTAAAATGTCTAGGAAAATTTTGTATCCATGGTTTCCCCATCCCCAATGTAAATATCCTTCACAATCTGTATATTGACTAAGATAAGAGGCATCATTCCATGAAAAGGCACCTTCAATGCCCAAAATCATATTTTCCGACCAATCTAACATATTTTTGGCAACATCATATTTTTCTTTGTCGTTTCCAAATTTTTGTTGAATTTCTTTATAAAAGCTAAAAAGCATATGGCAACTGTTTCATAAAATCTATTTTTAAAATATATATGTTTATTGAAATATTAATGGAAATCTATTTAACATTTTTAGTTGTTGAATTGAGATTTGGAGACAAATGATTTGACAACTTTCAACATTGTGTTGCTATCACAAACAATAATCGTAATAAAACGGATCGTTAAATTTTTACTAAATATGTAAAAAATTCTAGAGATTAATAATATTCCTAACCCTCGTTTCTAGCGATGCTTATAAACAATGAAGAGTTTAGTTATTACTCTCACTTAATATCGGTAATATCGAAATCAGCATAATTTCTGCTACATCATTTAACACGTTTTTGATGTACGATAATGTTAAAAAAAAACAACAAATTGACAACTAGTCCAACGAAGACTGTAGTAATTGAAATTTTCCACTTTTTGTGTTACGAGCGCAAAACAATAAAACATAATGTTCTTTTCCCCAAGAAAGAATGATATCTCAGTAAATATAGTTATGCAACCAATATTACATGTACGCGTTTTATGGTATTTCCGATTTATGAAAAACAACAGTAGAAAATAATCGCATCTTGAGTTACATTAGTCTTCGTTGTTATCCGAGGCGATAGCATTAGGTATCGTAACATGAGTTACTACGGCATTCGGCACTAGATAAAGGTTATGTTCAAAAGTTTAGTTTTGTTATAACTGCCATATTGTATTTCAGAAGTGAGTTAATATTGGAATTAGCTGAGAAAGCCCTTAAATAAGAACTAATATTGCACTGCAAGATACAGACGCATGAAGAAACATCATGATACCAATGTTTAAGAAAGGAGATGAAGAAGACCTCACCAATTATAGATGTATAAATCTACTGAACACCGCACTTAAGCTTACCACAAAAGTCCTAACCAACACAATTAATTAACTAACAACTTTATCAGATGAACAACAATGATTCAGATGCGAAAGATTTTGCGTAGACGCCGTATTTGTACTAAGACAGATCACAGAAAAGGCCATCGAGTACAATAAACCAGCATATCTATGTTTTATAGATCTGACAAAGGCTTCAGATCGCATCCAAGTCAAAGACGTCTTACACTTACTGTATAAAAGAAACATACTAAGCAACATTTATACAAACCATAGAGTTTTCATTCATTTTAAAAACTCTATCATCCAAACTGTCAAAATAAACAAATTTATTTACCGCTAATTTAAAAATATACAGAAGTTAGATCTAACTAATATTGAGTAATGCAATAATCATATTACCTTTTAACCATGATCTCCCCCAAACTAACATTTGTCTGAGTGACTTTTTCATTCCTTTCATAGTAAATTAAGACAAGTTCAAAAAGCTCATTTGAAAATTCTTTACTTATATTCTTCCGAGAAGACAAAAATATGTCACCAGATATATCGTCGCGTTCTAGTAGATTCAGCAGCCCTTTTTCTTGCAAAATTTCCCAAACACTATTGTTTTTTTCTCCATGGCACCATTCGGCACCCAAGTCAATAGTTCTACCATTCCAATTCTGTGTGTTGATCCTTCCACCCACCCGGTTTTCGGCTTCTAGTATTAAAATATCTTCTATTCCATTTTCCAATAATTTGCTAGCAGTAGCAATACCAGCTGGTCCAGCTCCAACAATAATTACTTTTGTTTGTTCTGCGCAGGTCACTGCATTTATCGTAGTGCAAACTACGAAAACAATTGGTAAAAACAAGATCATCTTGAAATTTACTTTTATATGATAGTTTAAGATTTGGTATAAGTAATTAAATATGATGTTTATTTAACACTAATTTGATATCGATATTCTTTTGTCAATTACACCAGCGATTCTCAATATGCGGGGATAATTATGGCTACCTCATAGAACGGGTAGAACGTAAAAAATTCGAGTAACATTTACGTAAAAAAATGTAAATAAAGATCTATAAAAGTGATGAGAATTTATTATTTTTGTGAATAAAAGAGTAACTAGTAGTAACTTTTAGCACAAAAACTATATGAATATTTAAACGGACGCACATTAAAATCAAAATTATTTTATAATATTAATAAAAGATATAAAATACATACAAAAAGCTGACCAAATTAACAAATTATCATTATCATGACATTCTGGCATTACATGAAATCTTGTAAGCGAGTATATCTCACAAAAAATTGACATATGGCGAAGTTACCTACAGAAGTAAAATGTAGGTTCCGAAGTCCATTATGAAACGAAAAAAAAAAAATCTCTAAATTGTTTCAATTCCGAATCTATGATTATTCCTAAATTAAATTTAGTAAAGTATAATATATAGTCTTCTGCAGGTCATCATGCAGGGTAGAGCCGATGGCAAAAAGGGAATAGGTAGAAAGAGGAAGTGACAGCTGTGAAATATTCGAGACTGGACAAACATGACTGTAGATGCATCATTCCACGTTGCAAAAGACAGAGAAACTTTTAGAAGTGTGGTCGCCAACCTCCGTTAATGGAGACGGCATAGGAAGAATAAGAAAGTATGATAAAAGAGACAATGAGGAGACACTACGACATTGTGGACACATTACTTAAAAAACATTAAGAACATTAGTTAGATATTCGTCTGCACTCATGCTACGACTTGCTATATAACTAGCGGTCCAACTTCAGTTATAGTTTGTTTTTCAGACGGTTTACATTGCTTAACCAAAAAATGTATTGATTTAACACTACACAAAATATAATTAGGAGGAGCAAAATGGGAGCAATGTGCTTATTATCCTTATCATTTGAAAAAGGAAAAAAAATGTTGGATGACGAAATTAAAACTTTCACATTTCAAACGTTCCAAAACGTTTAAAAATACATGTTTTAGTCACATAAGTACGTTTTTTAAAACCACACAATTTCAGCTACAAACTCCACCCAATACAGTCGTCTTGGAAGCAGTTCCCATGATGTGCAATCGTTTGTAAATTAAAAGTTTAAATTCTGCACGTTTTAGGCATATGTGTTACCAAAACTCAAAATCGTAACTTTATGTTATAGGTTTTGAAGAAGAGGCCCTAACAATGAAACTTCCACTACGATCCGTTAATGTAAGTAATAAATTTTATTGATTTCATGAAAAGCAAAATAGTAAAAAATGTCAAATATGACCAACGTTTATTTATTTAACAGAGTTTGTAATCGATAGCTCTTTTAGACTGTCGCCCTGGTGCCTTTAGTGACCAACTAATACGCACCTTGGCGCGCATCGCCCGCTTTCTCACATTTTATTCGTGTTTTTATTGTCCGAGTGGTCCGAAAATCTCATATAAATATTAACATGTCTTTAAATACGGGATTATTCGGATCTCAAGGCCATCGAAGTCGGTCCTTCACGGACTCTCCTAGAGCACTTCGCTCTAGGGGCGCTGCTCCTATTTTCTTTAGACTCTGTGGCTGAGTTCTTTTCCTATTGCAAACCTGCGTTTTATTTAAACCTTAGTAGTTGTATAACAAATAGATCTGGTCTCTTTCAAGACGAGATCGAACTACAGAGCGTCCGGAGTGATAATTGTGATGCATTTTTCGAATATATCACTTGTTCCGGTACGACATGGCATGGCGCCCAATTCATGGATTAAAATCCGAATCCACGACCTGCCTGCACAGAAGGCACACAGATGAATTTACCGCGTGCTGTATTCAAGAAAACAGCGGGGAGAAGCATCGGATGTTAGCATAGCAGGCTAACATGCCGATATCCAGGCCTTTTTGCAGCCCTAAAGCCTTCGATGTGCAGATACCTTCGACGAGCCAGCCTTCTTCGAAGCTAGAAGCCCCAGCTACCAACGGAAATCACGGAGTAGGACCAGCGTAGCAAACCACGTAGGCTTAGGCCCCTGGTCTACGAAACACCGTTTGATATGGTAGATGGGATCCGGACAGCCTAGAGGAAGACGAACCACCGATGGGCGTTACGCCCGTCGTCGGTATGGATCTATGAAGGATTATCACCGAGCCGCAAGCCCTTATCTCTTGCCGCACTGCTCCACCATAGGCCGATCAGATCCCAGCATATTCTAGTCTAAGCCGCAGATTCATCTAGAATTTTAAACTGCTGACTTTTTGTTTTCTGTACACCGAGCTGGGGCTCGATCCCACATCCACTGAACCATTCGACAGTGAAGCGAATGAGAGGCAGCAGCACAGCTTGCTGAGCTATCTGACGACATCGAGAATCTCATATAAATATTAAATTGTCTTTAAATACGGAATTATTCGGATCTCAAGGCAGTCGAAGTCGGTCCTTCACGGACTCTCCTAGAGCACTTTGCTCTAGGGGCGCTGCTCCTATTTTCTTTAGACTCTGTGGCTGAGTTCTTTTTCTATTGCAAACCTGCGTTTTATTTTAACCTCAGTAGTTATATAACAAATAGATCTCGTATTTTTCAAGACGAGATTAAACTATAGAGAGTCCGGAGTGATAATTATGATACATTTTTCTAATATATCACTTGTTCCGGTACGACAAGACAGTAACACTCACACTAAGGTTTAATTTAAATAAAAACATATTCGAAACAAACAATTGACAGAATAAAATTATATCGTAGATAATGTGCAAAATCTATTATCAATCCTATATCGAAGCAAGGATTGATGACCCTCTGTTTAATATCTGCGAAAAATAAAATATAACCAATATCATAAAAATCGAAATAAAAATACGGTGTTTTAGTAAACGCATGCTAAAAAGAGGGTGTGATGGATTGGAGGTAGACGGATCAATCGACACGAAACGTGAAGTGACTAATCAACACTTGGCCACGAAAGATTTATCTCAAATCAACACTCCGGTAATGGGTTATAAGCTACAACTCTAGCAGAAGCAGTTGGAGATTGGTTAACACCTTGGGGCCAGTAGAGTTTTTCCCAGATCAACACTCTACGAGGTTGGTCTTTGGTCAACACCTAAACGACCAGTGCTAAAGATGGCTGACCTGCCATCTACTCTAGTACGTGTCGCTGATAGTGTAAATTTATGGTGGGAGTACGTGCATACGGAGTATCGGTAAGAGAGTAGCGATAGCAGCTGGTGATAACATTATTACAAGTTATAGAAACTGCCTTTATTTTCGACAAAATACACAAATTGCGTAAAAATTTTGGGTTCATACAAAATTTTATTTAAAATTTATTCGGCGGGTGTAACTGACTACATATTTTATATAAAACTTTTTTTATGGCGTACAGATTCATGGTTAATCAATTTTTGCCGTTCCTTTTTTTACGAGGGGTGGGTTTTTTTTGAGGAAAGTTATGGAGTATTTGTGTTAAACTTTTTTGCATCTTTTTAGGGTCCCAAAATTTACATTTTCAGCAGCATTTAGAGTATTTATAAGATTTTTGGAGTCAAATTTTTGTCAAATGTGTCCACTCATCACAGATTTTTGTCAAATCTGTGACGAGTGGATTATATTTTAATAAATTAATAATTGATCTATTTCAACCTTCAAACAGTTTTAATTTTTAAAATATTTTGTGACTAAAGTTTAGATTTTTCCTAACTAATTTGCATTGTATAGTCCGTCTAGAAAGTATCCGGAATTTTATATTTTTCCTAATTTTAATAGATTTCCTTTTTGTAACATTTTAAGACAAAAGTAATGCATCAAGTAGATTGTACCGATAGTAGGTTATAGACAAAATCGCATGACAACACCATCTGTCAAATATTGTTGTTTGTAAACAGACTTAAGATTTGTGAAAAAATATCGCAAGTAGAAAAAAGAAAACTGGTGGAATATTTGTATAGAAAGAGAAATAAAGAGAAAATGTTACCGCTCAAATTTCCAAATTTCCCACTAAAATAATGGTTTGGGGAGCAATGTCTCAGCGTAGTGCTACACCTTTCTATATAGTTAATGGTACTGTTGATAATGCAAAATATTGTGACATCGTAAATGGTTTTCTTCTTGAAACGGCTCATATTTTATATCCAGTGGGGTCGCGTTTTCAGCAAGATAATGCAAGATGCAATACTTCTGCTTATACTCAAGCTTAGATGCAAGAACACGAATTGGCAACAATTCCGTGGCCAGCACCATCTCCAGATCTTAGCCCTATTAAAAACATATGCGGACTGATGAAAATTGAAGTGGAACGAGCAGCGCCATGAGATAAAGGTTTGATTCGGTCAGCTTTACATGCCTGGAACACCATTACCGAAAATTTTGGACTTGACCTAGTTTCGGTTGTACTGGGACGTTTAGTTAAGGGTTTAGATTTAAATGGAGGTTGCATAAGTAAATGAGATGAATTATTTGTTGAAATTTTATATTTCAAGTGATATAAATAAATACCGTAAAATTATAATTCTGCTTTCTTTTTTCCGGACACTTTCTAGACGGACTATAGTATGGGAACCTTAATTTATTGGTCAATAAATAATAAAACTCGAAAATTATACAAATAAATAATATCTGTATTGTTCGATCAATTTTTGTACATATTCTTAATATTAATATAATAGTTTAATGTTATAATTGTTGACTTTGTACAAAATACCAATCGTTCAAATATTGAAAACTGCTGTTTAAGATAATGATTCTGATTCTATTTAAACGGACGCACATTAAAATCAAAATTATTTTATAATTAATCATGAATGTGTTGCTTGTGTGACTCCATTTCAAATAGGTAAAGAAATAATAAATAAGACTTACAATCAATTTAATTTAACTATTCAAACGATCGGTTATAAATGTTGACTTTGTACAAAATACTAAAC